ATTGGTATTTCCAGGTTGCCAGCCTCTCCAGTACGCAGTCCCGGATAATGAGGCAAAAGGCAAGCCTAAGGAAATCAGCACTGTATTTTTTCTTGGTTGCTGAGGTCCCGAGCCTTTCTGTCTTCTGCTACCCTCCTTTCAGGGTCTTATGTTTGTCTTACTCATGATGCCCAGGATTTCAGTTGTGTTTAGCAGGAGGAATAGGGAGAATTGTATCTTCCCCATCATCCAGGAGACAGAAGTTTCAAGTCACCATTTTTAAAAGGGTTTAAAAGGACTTCCCCTCAGTCCTCCCAGAGAGCAGCCTGACGTGTAGCCTCTGGTTTGTGCAGGTTGTGTGGGAGGACAAGTAGCTCAGGTTTGGTGACTTCTCTGGGGATCTGGAGCTCTGTGCCTTCTCTGGAGGGCCTGTGCAGAAGGCCTGCTGTGCGGGGCTGTGTGAAATGGATCTCAGGCCTCTCCCGTGGGTCCTGGCAGCCCATCTCCAGTTTCCAGTGTCAGCTGCAGACACCTGCTTCCCTGTGTCCTCCAAAGCCAGAGAAGAGCAAAACTGAGTGCACCGCTCAGTTCCACAGTGCACTCAGCTGACAGGCCAGCTTCCTTTTGGGCTCTCTCCTGCTGCCTCTGTTTGTGGGCCTTCTGTCAGGGTTACTTCTGGACTTACAGACGTGGTGACTCCACGGTGATGGTGGGAGCATGTGGCATTTTTAGATATTGGCAGAACAGTAGCTCTTCCTAGCAGTCCTTTCCTTGCCTTGGGGACAAGGTCAGGGTGACTGAGTCAGGACCGTAGGTTCTCCAAGAAACAGGAAGCTTAGCGGGAGAGAGAGCAATGAGTACCCAGCAGAACTGATCTGCAGGCACAGTTGAATGGCCCCTTGCCTGCCTTCCCTTCTTGTCCCTCTGAGGCCTGCCTTCAGATGAAGGACATAGCTGGAGCGGGGCCTACCCCACCCTGTGTCCTGGAGTGAAGGTTCTAAGGTGAGGGGCAGTATAATTACATGGTGAAATGACAGGCACACATTAATTCTGAAACGGGTCATTGTCGTAATGATGGAGGTGAGTCACTGGATGCTGACCTAGGAGGTCAGGTTGGCCCCTTGAGGAAGGGATATAGAGCCATGAGGGATGGATGGGATTGCCAGGCAAGGGGCAGGGTGAGAGAGCTGGGGTAACACAGCAGACACTTTGGCCAGGCTGTGGGGAGAGGAAAACGGCAGTGCGAGTGGGGGTCCTGTGTGGTGTTATCTGGGATTGTAGCGCTGGTTGTAGTCTGGATGCTCTCAGTGGGGAAAGGTCTGAGGGTTAAAGATGGCTGCTCACTGTGCCCTTGCCGGAGAGTCCTTTCCAGCCCAGACCACGGTGTGTGTGTGTGCGTGGGGTGAGGGTGCTGGGGGTGACCCACCCCTGCTCTGTCCCTGGCCTTGGCTCACATGGCTGTGCAGGGAGGCTGTGGCCCTGAGCTGCGTGGTTCTAGTTGGCGTTCAGCTGCAGACATCCACACGGCCCTCTGGGAGCTCTCACCCTCCCATACCCTGCAGGCCCGCTCAGTGTACTCTGGGCCTCCTGTTCCCCTCTGCCTGTCTGGCCCACGCCAGCTCCTTTCTACCTACTGGTGGTCCACGGTTGTTGACTTGGTAACCTTTGTCCCTGTCTCTTTGAATGAAGCCTCTGAAATCTGACTGGGGCAGGCACCTGGAAACTTGATCCCTCCCTGGAAACTTGAGTCCTCCAGGTTGGGGAGAAGGGGAGGTAGCTGCCTGTAGTCTGGAGCTGACGAAGGAGGAGCCTTTGCTCCCCCACTGCTGGCAGTCCTTGGTAAATGTTTTTTTAAAACAGCTATAGTGAAGCCAGGCACAGGGGGGCACACCTGTAATCGCAGCAGCTCAGGAGGCTGAGGCAGGAGTATTGTGAGTTCAAAGCCAGCCTCAGCAACTTAGTGAGGCCCTAGCAATTTAGCGAGACCCTGTCTCTAAATAAAATACAGAAAGGAGTGGGGATTTGGCTCAATCCCCAGTACAGAAAAAAAGCTTTATTGAGACAAAATTCATACCATACAAATGACCTATTAAAAATGTGTAATTCAATTATTTTTAGTGTATTCCCAGAGAGGTGCAGTCACCAACACAGTTAAGTTTTTGAAGATTTCATTGTCCCCAAAAGAAACCTGGCTCTCAACCCTCCTATCCCTACATCCCCAGGCAGCCACTAAGCTGCTTCTGTCTCTCTGGATTTGCCTTGGTAGATGCTTTCAGTGGGGTCATCTGCTTCCTAGCAGGTGCCTTCTTCTGGAACCTTTGTTTCCTGCTCTGGACACTCCATTTCCCGGGCTTGCCTTCACTGTGATCTGGGTCATGATCTGTGATTGGCTTCACCTAGCTGGTGGGTGCCAGCAGAGTCCCTAATGTGCAGCACACAGGGCCATGCATGTAGTAGGGCTGGCCAGATGGTCGTTGAATGAATAATGATGCAAATAAGGATTTGGGTTGAGACCATGGTTAGCCTGGGTTCTGAGGGAACTTGTGCCAGACCTGTAGGTCCCCATTGTCCTCCCCCCGCCCCCGCTTGGTACCAGGGATTGAGCCCAGGGATGCTTAACCACTGAGTCACATCCCCAGCACCCCCCGCCCCCACTTTTTTTTTTTTTTTTTTTTTTTTAAATTTTGAGACAGGGTCTCACTAAGTTGCTTAGGGCCTCACTAAGTTGCTTAGGGCCTCTCTAAGTTGCTAAGGCTGACTTTGAACTCATGATCCTCCTGTCTCAGCCTTCCAAGCCACTGGGATTACAGGTATATGCCACTGCGCCTGGCCTAACTGTCCTTTTTTGGGAAGTCCTGCTAGGTGTAGCTTACTGATGTGATGCCACCCCAAAGCCCTGTAGCCAGAGGCCAGCAACCTGGCATATATTAAACCAGGTTGAGGTAGAGCAACAGCTTCGTGGTCTAGCCTGCTGACCTCCCAGGTGGGGGACCTGTGGGCCGGGAGTCACTGGGTATTGGCACACAAAGAGAGCTGTCTGACCTTTGACTGAGGCCTTGACTTTCCCATGCCTTAGGTGGGTTTGATGGGGTCCACTTGGAGTGCTCACCTAGAGCCATGTGGAGAGAGGCCTGGTGTGCTCACTCACCTGGAGACTGCAGGATGCTTCTGGTATTTTCAGAGAAAACAGACCTCTGTTTCCTTTGCTCATTTCATTTCATGGACCTCTTGGCCTGGGAGGGTGGTGTTGTAAGCCCCGCCCTCTGCCAGCATCCGCTCTGGTGTTTCTTCAGAATGAGTACCTCTTCTCCCTGCAGCCTGCCCCACCTCAGGCCTACAGCCCCTTTACACACTCTGCTGGTGGGATAAGTCAATGTTCCCAGGGGGGTCTCAGGTCTGCAGAAAGAAGCCGAGGAAAGAGAGGACTCCTGTCTCAGCCTGGGGGCTATGTGACCTGCCCTTTCTGAGTCACATATTATTAGATTCCACAATGAAGGGAGGGGGTGTGAACCTCTCAGTATGGAAAGGGTTTATAAGAGGGCTCCCAAGGCTTGACCAGAGATTGTTGTGTGACCAAAAGTCGGGGACCGTTTTCCTTTGTGTTACTGCCCTCCACAGGGTAATGGTTATGTGGCTGGGCTATGCCTTTTCCCGCCCCTCTTGCCAGCTGGGTGAAGAGGGAGAGGGATGGAGCCAGAGTGTCTGTCTTTGTTCTCATAACCTGAGTTGAGCTCCCACTGCCAGGGTCTTGGGAGTGGGGAACTCTTTGGACAGTAAAAATATAATAGACAGTGCCTAACGCTTATTGAGAATTTATAGGCCAGACACCATGCTTAGTGTGGTTTTTCTTATGTTTTTATTGAGATATAATTCACATACCACAAAATTCACCCCTTTAAAACGTATAATTCATCTGGTTTTAGCATATTCACAATGTTGTGCAACTAGCTCTACTATCTCATTCCCAAATATTTTTATTACCTCCAAAAGAAACCCTATACCCATCAGCAGAAACCCCATCCCCTCTCCCGCTAATATTTCTGTTCTTTTGATTTGCCTGCAGTATGGTGGGCCTTTGTGTCTGGCTTTTTTTTTTTTTTTTTTTTTTTTAAGTTTCTTGCATGTTATAGCATGCATCAGTACTACTCTCTTTTTTATGGCTAGGTAATGTTTCATGAATGGCTAGACCATATCTGTTCATTCATTTCTCTGTGGATGGACATTTAAGTAGTTACCACCTTTTGGTGATTGTGAATGATGTTGTGAGGAACATTTGTGTACAGGTTTTTATTTCAGCACCTGTTTTCAGTTTTCGTGGGTGCATGTACGTAGGAGTGGGTTTGCTGGGGCTTATGGTAACTCTTCAATGATCATTTTGAGGAACTGCCAGGCTGTGTTCCAAAGTGGCTGCACCATTTTACATCCTTATGCTGGATTCTACTTGTTGTATCTTATCAATCCTCCCATAAACTTGTGAGATATAGATAGAAGTGTCAAAATTCTCCACCTCTAGAATGGGAGGCTTGAAGCTCAGAAGGTTTTTGTCTTCTGGCTACAGCCAGTGGGCGGTGACTCCTTGGATGGTATAGACTTGATCCTTGATCACTAGCAGAGTGTTTCTCCCCAGCCCTGCTTTTCATCTTCAGGATGAGGACTAGGGGCTGTGTTGTTGACATATTTCTGATGCTACTACATGCGGGCACTCACGTTCTTATTGAATAAAATGCCACCCCCCCCACCCCACCCCAGATCTTAATGTGTTGCTCAGGAACTTGAAGGAGGTAGCCTGTGGTCTTTCAGTGTTTTCCGACTCCTGCCAGAATCTGCTTTCTCCACTCTGCCCTGGATGTTATAGAATCCCCCTAACTTCTTACTCTAGTGCATCTGCCTTGGAGAGTCTGTAGTTTGGGAGGGAAGGCATGTTCAGCTGAGCTGGGGTGACTTTGTGTTTGTCAACTTGACCTGGTCTTTCTTGCTATGGTTCAAGCCTCTGATGATCTTTCCTCCTTTTTCTCTTCTAGGCAAAACCCATTTATGGTGGCTGGCTGCTCCTGGCTCCAGATGGGACAGATTTTGACAACCCAGTGCACCGGTCTCGGGTAAGAGCACCAGAGTGAATTCTCAGGGTGGCGGGGACCAGAGAGAGCAGGGAGGCCCTCTGAGGGCCCATTGGCAGAATGGAGGAGGAAGACAAGAATGGATGTCTGGGATGGCAGGCCGACTGAGACCCTCATTTGGTGAATTCACAGGGTTCACAGAAAGTCTCAGTTAGGCATATTTTTTTCAAAGTCTTCCCTTCAAAACAAGATGCTCTCGTGTGGGTGCCATCTGTTTTGTGGATCAGCGTGGCTCTTGATTCTGTCCAGTTAACTGGAAGCCAGAAGAGCAGCTGAGCACCTGCGCATTATACTGATGTGGTTCTCGGTTCCAAGAGTGCCTCCTGCAGCTCCCTGGGAGCCGAGGCCCAGAACCAGGAGCATTGTTGGCAGGGGCAGGGCCAGAGTGCACCTTAAACATCACATTGCCCTCTCTCCTGGCCCCCAGCCAGGTCAGGTGACTGCGGGAGTCCAGGTGGTTGACCAGCATCATCCTGCCTGATGGCTTGTTCTCAGCCAGGAAGCCCTTTTAGGTTGTCTTTAGGCAAAACACTGCCCTTCCATTTTTGTGCGCCCCCTTCTGGGTACCAACTGCTTCAGCTCTGCTGCTTCGCCTCCCTTGCGTTCTGGAGCTCCCCTTCCCCTTCTTTGGGGTCTCTGCTGCTCATCTTTTCTCCTTCTGGGCCAGGGCCCTGGGAGTGCATATTTTTGTCCCACTGACCTTGCATTGTATCTTTGGGCTTCCTTCTGCATTGGTTTTGATTTTAAAGACGACATATAACCTTGAAAATGTTTCCTGAAAACATGTCCTGGCAGTCTCCCCTTGGACATCCCCTGTAGATCCCCTTGCAAGGCCCTTCACATCCCTATTCCTGCTACCCAGGTGGGAGGGCTCAGTAGCAACAAGTCTAGACTACAGTTCCCAGGTCCCTTTCCTGGTTTCTATTAAGGTTGTACAGAGTTGCCATTTCCAGTTTCTAAAAGGAAAATCATTATTATTATAAATTGATGATTCTAGTCCACAGCAAAGAGACATAATATTGTAGTTAGTTCTGTGGCCTTATTGCTAGTAAAGATCTGGATATGGTTGAGTTTTTTGAAAGGTTAAGTATAGGTCTTGGACCCTTGAGGTTTGGGAGCTATGCCAATCAATCATGATTTAGACCAAGAGCCTCAGTAGCAGACAAAACCCTTCTCCACACAGAAAGAAGATGCCTCTATAGTCCTTTCCATTCCAGCTCTCAGTGGCATTCTACCACTGTTGGTACCCCGGTGACCTGACCTTTGGTTAGAAAGTGGGGGGGGGGTCCCTTTGCAGTTGACCACACCCTGGATTACGGTTGTTTACACTGTCTTGCTCCTCTTCCCTTTTGATTTTTGTTAGTTCTTTCCATCACTGCCTGGAGCCTAGCTGTCTTTTTTTTTTTTTGTCTCCCAGTGGATCATGTGCTTTTCTAGCAGTTTCCTGGATTTTTTCAGAAGTGGTAAATCAGTGCCTTCTCATCCTTTGGTTATTCCAGATTGTGTCTGATCATTCATGCAAAAAATATTGACACACATCAGGTGATAGATCTGTGCCAGCTGCTGTAAGGAATTAGAAGTGTGACTACACATGACTTGCTCCCATGAGCTCTCAGATTTTTAAAAAGCTTCTTGTTAAATCCCAATATTACTTGTGTGGAGCCCCAAGTCATTCATATGATTTGGGACTCCTCTCTGGGCCCCAGCCTGGCTAAAATGAATCACTGTGGTTATGCCTTGGGTCTCTTTTCCTGCTGTCTGTCCTAGAAATTGAAGCCATGGAACCAGTATTCCTTAGATTTGGGTTTGACAGACACAGGGACTCAGTCAGCTGAGACCTGGGGCCAGGACTTCCCTAACGACAGACTCTGTGCTCCATTGCAGAAATGGCAGCGGCGGTTCTTCATCCTCTATGAGCATGGCCTCCTGCGCTACGCCCTGGATGAGATGGTGAGTGTCCTCCTGCTTGCCTACTCCCTAGCTTCTGTTGGGGCTTCTTTCTGGCTCTGGGGATTAAGCCAGGGGTGCTTAACCACCAAGCCACATCCCCAGCCCTTTTCATATTTTATTTTGAGACACGGTCTCACTAAGTTGCTTCGGGCCTTGCTAAGTTGCTGAGGCTGACTTTGAACTTGTGATCCTTCTGCCTCAGCCTCTCCGAACCCTTGGGATCACAGACATGAGCCACCATGCTCAGATGTTTGGGCTATTTTGAAGGACTTGTGGCACCCATTGGAGATGGCTGTGAAAACCTAGAACCCTGGGTTTGAGATGTCTTCTTCAATGGTTGAGGGTGAGAAGAAGTAGTGAGACGGGAAGTCACTCCTGTTCAAGGCTAATAGGAGTTTGGATTTGGCATTGAGGAAATTGAGGGCAAAGTCCTGAGTCTCAGCAAGGACTTTCACAAGCTGTGGACCTGTAGGAGTGGGCAGGGGACAGATGGGTTCATGTGCTGTCATCCTAGGGCTGCCTCTAAGTTTCTGACTTTTAGTTTTGCTTATCCTATTCAATCTTGGGTAGATATTTTTAGCTAATGTTAGAAGCCTCCTGGTCCTGAGTGACTGTCCTACGCTGGATGAAAGTTTGCTGTTCTTGCTCCAGAGACCAAACACCCAGCCCAACCAAGTGGAATGTTCTGGCTTTTGTTTTTCCACTCATGTCAGCCCCTGCCTTTTTCTCTAAAGGAGATTTCTCTCCCATGTTTAAAGTATGACTATACCTATAAAGGGTTAAAGAGGGACGTTTTGACCACCTTTCCCAGTTGCTTTTGAATGGGTGAGTATGATGAGTGTGTGTGTGTCTATACTTGCATTTGGGCAATCTCTGAAAATTGGGATCCTGCTAGAAAATCTAGTCATGCTATGTCAAATAGGTTGGCCCACCTGTCCCATGCAGAGGTCATTTCTTTGCTGCAGTGATGAGAGATCTGGAGTGTGAATAGAGGTGACTGTGTTTTAAGGACCTTCCAGAGCATTGGGACACTGGGATTTTGGGGTGGTCATTAGAGCTAACGTGTGCAAATGCCAGAAGTGGGTTGGTGGTACTTTCTCACCTTTTATTCCTGAGACCATGAATAGGCATGACATCCATACCTGTTATCCCATTACGTATCTGTATTGACTATTACCTCACTAGTTGCTTCTTTGGTTCTGGGAAGCAGAAAGTTTTGCCCAGACCATCTGTAGTCCAGAGTAGTTTGAAGTGAGCAGATTAGAGGTGAATACTGCTAGACGGAGGCAAGGTAGGTGCTGCTAGGGGCAGAAGGTGATGCTCTTGGTCACTGCTGTCCCTGAGGAAGGAGGCAGGCCTGCAGGACAGACTCTGCCCTTAGCGTCCTCCTGGCCTGATCTTTATGTGGGCAAGCAGATATTAGGTGGAGGCTGGGCTCCCACAAGCATTGAGATTTGCCTTGTCCTTCCTGTTCCTGGCTGGCCCATTCGGAAGTCCTGCAGCTGTCTACCATTCTAGAGTGAACCTCAAGAGCTCACTGGATTGCGTTTAAGCTGGGCTTGGGCCATAAACCAGCCTGAAACAGAACTCCCTGGACCTTCCTTGGTGACTGATTATTGTTGGGTCCAACTAAAGTCCAGCACAATCCACTGTTCCCTTTGGCTCTGTTGCACAAGTACAAAGAAAGTGGTTACAGGCTGCCTCTGAATCGGCACTAACGCCAAGCACATGCTGTATCCCAGAGCTTCTCAATAATTGAGACCATCAAGCCAGGAGTGCTGACACCTCATGGCCCGCACTGGTCTCCCAGCAACCTGGATGCAGGCTGGGTAGTATTTCATTTGGTGCTGGGGCCAAGATGGCCCAGTGCCAGGGGTGTGAGGAAACAAAGAAGCCCCAGGAGACTTGGAAGAGAGGGCATTGGGGGATGACCAGAGCTGAAAGGTTTTTGTATATGGGCAGATGATCTTGGAGCAAATGATTGACGGGTAGCCAGTTAAAGTTGTTCTATACACATACACAGTGCCTCTTGCGATAAAGTGGCATTATTTCTACGCGTGAAAAAGAACATTGGCAGTTATGTCAAAATGCCTTTAAGATTTTAAGAATTTTCCCTATTTCATCAGGAAGTTGCAAGGAGGCCATGGGGTAGAGGCCAAGTAGGAGGAGACAGGGTGGAGTCGAGGAGAGGTGGGTAGAGGCCAGGCAGGAGGAGACAGTTGGGGTAGAAGCCAGGTGGAGGAGGTGATCCTGGTGGAGGCTAGCTAGGAAGAGGCAATTGGGGTGGAAGCCAGACAGGAAGAAGCAGTCCTGGTGGAGGCCAGGCAGAAAGAAACATGGGGGCTCCTCTTGTAGGAGCTCCAGAGGCCTCTTGCATGCCTGGTGGCTACATCAGGTTTGTCCTTCATGGTCACTCCCTGGAACAAGCAGTCCAGAGTCCAGGAGCCTTCCCTTGGCAGAGAGTTCCACCTCAGCCTGGCCAGCAGAGTTCTGAGGGAGAAGAAGCGTGTCTTTGCAGGCAGGCCCACATGGGCAGAACTCCAGGTGAGCTGGAAAGTTCTCTGTGAGTGCCTAGAAGAGCAGTGGTCCTCAGAACTGCATGGCAACATCCAGAGTCATCTTCGATTGTCACAATTGAAGCAGGAATGCTGCTGGCGTCTATGGGATGGAGGCCTTGGATGCTACAACATCCTTGTGATGTACAGAACAGACCAAAGAAGAATTGGCCCAAAATGTCAACAGCACCCAAGCTGAGAAACTCTTTGAGTGATTTAGTCAGTGGTTTACTTAAATTTGAGCTTATTTTTAAAAATTAAAATGCAAATATAATTTGCTGTCAGCTCCATTCTTTAATAGCACAAGACTTACCTGTCAGATTTTTCTCAAGTGAGAGGTAATGGGATGGGATTGGCTTGCTGCTCATCGTGTGGGAAGTGGCAGTCTCAGAGTAAGGGTGGGCCTGCTCCTAGTCTGGAGGGTTTATGTTGGGCTCCTTCCATACCAGTCACTGATGGCTAGCAGGACTGCCTGTGTGTATTTCTTAGCCAGGAAGTCACGTAGATGGTGCTTCCTGTAACATGCCAGATCACCCCATGTCTATAAAGTGGCCCCACCTGTTTGTCTCCAAAAACAGCAGCTCTGAGCAGCATGTGGCCATGTTGGGTCCTGCTGGTCCTACTAGGCTCAGCTCTAGCTCTTGCTGGTGGCCACCCACTAAGTGATCTACTGCACTATATGTAATGGATCTATAGCATTTTATGGCTGCTTTGTTCCCTTAACACTTAGTCACAATCTGTTATAAATTAGTATTTGATTTTTATATAATATTACTGTTTGTTTTAACTTTTTCTTAACATTTTTTTTAGTCATAGTTGGACTCAATACCTTTATTTAATTTATTTATTTTTATGTGGTGCTGAGGATCGAACCCAGGGCCTTGCAGGTGCTAGGAAAGCGCTCTAACCCTGAGCCACAACTCTAGCCCCCTACTCTTTTGTTTTAATTTGTTTAAATGTTATCTTACTAACTGGACTGTGACATTTTACCCCTTGTTGGGTCCCTGATAATTTTTGCTATCTCCTGCATTGTCTGGCATGGGGCTTGGGTATACCAGACCTAGTAAATATTTGTGGAGTTGAGCTCACCAACTTTGTGATGCATTGCTACAGAATTTCAGCTCCTGACTTAGAAAGCGGGTAGGGGCCGTCGGGAAAAGGGAGAAAGTGGGACAAAGGGTGGTTCTTGGAGCAAGATAGGGATGTGGTGACTCTTACAGGTCACTTCTTACGAAGGAGGAACATCTTCCAGAGAGCTCTGAGGAGTGGTGAGGAGAAAGGTTATATCAGCCTTGCAAGGTTGGGTCCGGGAGAGACAGGTTGTGGTGTGCAGGAGAGGGCAGCAGTCCCACTCTGGTTCTGCTGTGGGAATCCTTTTCTGCTTGGAGACCTCTGCTGAGGTGGGGGGGGGGCCTGTGGGCATGTCTAGCTCCAGGGGCTGACCACTGCCTTTCTGGGCAGCTCCAAGATGGGACTCCCTTTTGGAAATCTCTTCCTTTTTTGGGAAATCACTTTCTTGATACACCCACGTGCCCTGTAGCTGATGAGTGTGGAGGAAAGGCAGATTTCCCAAAAAAGGAAAGGAAACTTCCCAAATGCAGCTGAGGTAAGGTGGGCTCAGGGCAGCCTCACAGACAAGTAGCAGCCTGAGAAATCTGGCTGGGCCTCCAGCTTTTCAGGAGTAGATGAGGTTGAAGGTTCTAGCAACTGGAACTGCTTCTCTCCTCCACTTGTTTTCTTCTTGAGAAGTCCGTGCATAACTGTACCAGGTTCTGCCACTGTTCCTGGGTATCTTGGGGACTGGTGTAAAGCTAAGGAGCTGGTGTGATCAGCCCAGAGGCTTCAGGACTCCATGGTAGGCCTGTTCCTTTCCTGGAATTGAGGCAAAAAGATGATCTAATGTTTTGTCCTTAAAAAAAAAAAACTTGATAAATTACAACATAAAATTTAACTATCTTAATCATGTTTAAGTGTGCAATTGGGTAGCATTCAGTACACTCACACTGTTGTGTAGCCGTCCCCACCATCTCACTCAAGAGCTCTTTCATCTTCTCAAACTGAAATTGTCACCATTAAACACTGACGACTCATCCCTGCCACCCCTGCCATGGCAACCCTCCCTCCCATCTTTCTTTCACTGGGAATGAACCCAGGGGTGCTGTACCACTGAGCCCCAGCCCCTAACCCTTTTTATTTTGAGACAGGATCTCATTAAGTTGCTGGAACTGACCTCAACCTTAATGTCCCTCCTGCCTCAACCTCCCAAGCAGTAGCAGTTGTGCTTCTCTGTGCCTGGTGTGCACCGCTGTGCCTGGCTTACTTTTGTACTTTCTGTCTCTGAATTTGATTCTTCTAGGAGCATTATACAGATTGAATATCCCTTATCAGAAATGCTCCAGACAAGAATCGTTTTGGATTTCAGTTTTTTCCAGATACTCGAATATT